ATATTCGTTTACAAATATGAAGGTTTAAGATAAATAATACTAATAAAAATATTAATTTTTCTCATAAATTATAGGTATTTTGTGACAAAATCCATAACCTGGCCGTAACATAAGTAAAAAATATAGACTAAAAATACAAGTTAGACTCAAATTTGTACTTTCTGGGCGTGGTAGTTCTCTTGCAATCTCTTTTCTTATTATGTGAAATCAAAGTGTGCAGAATCAAATTATTTATTTATAAAAAGTAAGTACATAAAAAAATTACTTTTTATTTGGTAAATTTAAAATTTTTTTTGTCAAGTTTACTTTGAAAATACTCAAAACCAATTTTTCTGTTCATTTATCTTATTCTTATATATATATATATATATATATATATATATATATATATATATATATATATATATATATATATATATATATATATTATATTAGTGTCCTACTCATGCATGGTATTACTTCAAAAAGACCGGTGTATTGGGACAGAAAACTACTGTTTTATCTGCTAAAGTTTTAAAATACCGATTTATTTTCTTTGCTTAATGAGGCCCGTGCACCTGGTGGAAGAAAGTCAGCATACCGTTAGTATGTGTATCGTGGTATATATATATACTGGTTTAAACTTGGACTAATTACCTAGTCTGTTTCAAATAAAGCCTATGTTAAACGGCGCCCTTTACTTTTTAACAGACTTCAAAAAAGGAGGAGGTTCTTAATTCGTCGCAATATTTTTTTTTATGTATGTTCAGCGATAATTCTTTAACACGGTTTCCGATTTCAATGATTCTTTTTTTGTTAGAAAGGGGACACTTCAGGGGTGGTCCCATATAAATTTGGTCAAAATCTAATAATTGGGTCCATAAGAAAATCCTCAAACTCTTAATTTTTTATGCATGTTTAGCGATAATGCTTTACCACCTTGTCCGATTTACATAATTCTTTTTTTGTTAGTAAGGGGGTACCTCAGGGGTTGTCCCATATAAATTTGGTTAAGATATAGTGATGGCATCTGCACGTTTTTAAAGTAGGTTTTTTTAAATTTCTAATTTCTAATACTTGTCTATATTTCAATTGTTTATATAAGGTCCCATATTGGCTAATAATTGGACATCTGCCCTATAAGTGAACTCAAGTGGAGAATTATTGGTAAAGGCCGGTTTAAAATATTCGTTTTGATCGATAGTTTTGATTCACAGCAGGAATATTATCTAGCCACCCAAAATAACTTTTAAAATATCTTTAAAACAAAAAAACAAAAAACACGTTAATTTATATTTACGGGGGAACACATTTTACAAGTATCTGTAACCGTGCAGTTTCATCCCCTAAGCGGTGGTGAATATCACTTCTAAAATTTTAAATAGAAAGGGGTATCATGTGATAGCTCTTCTTAAAGGTCTCTTTTTTTCCAATCTTTTGACACATTATTTTTTAAATCGGATTAATTTTTCACCAAGTTATGCCATTTTAACCTTTTAAATTAAAATAATTATTATTTACATTGTATTTACAATATTAATATTTGCGTAAGAATTACATTGTACTTAAATAAGATGTTCAAAATGTCCGCCATTGTTGGCAAGGCAATGGTAAAGTCGCAGCTCGAATTCATCCCGCACTTTTTGAAGCGTCTCTGGTGTAATCCACTCACACTCCTCCAGTTCAGGAATATAGCGAGGTTGAGTATTATACACCACAGTTTTTAGATGTCCCCACAAAAAAAAGTCAAGGGGCGTTAGGTCGGGTGATCTCGCTGGCCATTCTATAGCGCCCCTTCTTCCGATCCTTTTATCTGGAAATGTCTCATTAAGCCAATTTCGTACAGGTAAGGCATAATGTGGAGGTGCTCTGTCCTGTTGAAAAAATAGGTTTTCTTCGTCTAGTAACAAATTTCCATCTTGATCTATTTGGTTTTCTAAGGATTCGGTTATAAGAGGATTTATCAGATTTTCTAATAAGTTCAAATACAATTCCCCAGTTAAATTTTCCTCCATGAAAATAGGACCAATAATTTTATTACCAAGAATTCCGGCCCATACGTTGTATTTCTGAGGATATTGGCTGTGCTCTTCCCGAAAAACATGTGGATTTGTATTGGCTCAGTACCTACAATTATGTTTATTGACAAATCCATTTAAAAAGAAACCTGCCTCGTCAGTAAACAAATATTTTTAATAAAATTATGGTCTTCATTTGCCATTTGAGTCATTAGTTCGCAAAATTCTAATCTTCTGTCATAATCATCCTCAGCAAGCTGTTGTAAAAGCTGTATTTTGTAAGGAAATAATTTATTTAGCCGTAACGTTTTATGCACAGAGCCAACGGAAATATTTATTAATCTGGAGACTTTTGGTATTGATGTTTGAGGTTCCATGGCAAAATGACCTAAAATCTCAACTTGTGCAGCTTCAGTTAAAACTCTACGATTCCTTACAGTTTTATTGCACACACTTTCAGTTTCTTGAAATTTATGAACTAAATCCAACACAAACTGATGCCCAACATTTTTATCTGGATGTCTCTGATTAAAAACACGAGCAGTTCTGCGTGCACAGCGTTGTTCTTCACCATAAATAAAGATTATTTCAATTCTTTCTTGTAAAGAATAAACCATTGTCCAAATTAAATTGTCAGTACACAACGAAACCAATAATCTACTAATAATAAATTGTTTTAATTTACGGTCAAAAATATCTTACGCAAAAAACATTTAAGGCTTTTTGCTAACCTGTTTATCTCGGTATTTATACTCATGCATTTTAATTCAATTTTTTCCGGTTTCTAGGTTATAACTTGGTGAAAAATTAATCCGATTTAAAAAAATAATGTGTCAAAAGATAGGAAAAAAAGAGACCTTTAAGAAGAGCTATCACATGATACCCCTTTGTATTTAAAATTTTAGAAGTGATATTCACCACCGCTTAGGGGATGAAACTGCACGGTTACAGATACTTGTAAAATGTGTCCCCCTGTAAATATAAATTAACGTGTTTTTTTGTTTTAAAAATATTTTAAAAGTTATTTTGGGTGGCTAGTTTTGAAATGAAATCCCTGTAGTAAATATTACAAATGCGTTTAATGTGGATAAAACATTTTCGGATCAAATTCTGAATTTTATCTAATGCCACATGTGTTCTATAGTTAAATATTATGGGAGACAACGGCGCACCCTGACATTGTATTTGGGAGATGGAGTTTTGTAGTATGACAATATTATGTAAAATGAGAGAATGCATTTATTAAATACTTAAACAATAAAATATTATTTTAATTTATATTTATATAAAGTCTTCTTGGTTTTCAATCAATTTATTTAAAACAGTAGGGGTTATTAAGGCCGATTCTCATTGTAGTTCAGGTCACGCTCCGCTCACGCTCCACTCAAGGCGCGATGCAATATTGTGACACACTATTTAAATGAAAATATACATATTTGGCATTTCGCTCACGGTACGCTCACGATCTTTGACCGCAATCTTTTTCCGTGCGGATATTTTGATCGAACCGTGAGTGAACCTTTGCGTCAGTATATACAATGTGTTTAGTGGTACAAACAATTAAACGACGTTTGCTTTTTCTATTCTTGGGTTAAGAACAAGTTGGATGAACAACTAATTGAATTAGTTCGAAATACCAAAGAATTGTACAACCTGAGTGATAAGTTATACTTTGACATCAAGATTGAGCGCCAATTGAGTGTAACATGTGAATACTACCTAACATCCTTGATTGTGAGTGGATCATAAGCGTAGAAAAACTAGTGACCTGAGCGCCAATAATGAGAATCGGCCTTTAACATTTCAGGGGAGAGGTTGTCCAGCAGGGACAGAAGTTGGAAAGGCTTTTCGAAGTTCTACCCCAGTATATTGAGAAAAAAGAATTGTAAGGGTCGTTATATAGGCATTGAGACATTTCCTTAGTGCATTGGCGACAGAAGGGGGCACAATAGATCTTTTAGGTAGCAGTGTATTAACACCCCATTCTTAACATAACTAATAACATACCCCAGTATAAGTAATAATACAGAAGCGACAGTTCATTGTTTATGAGGGTTCCACATTTTTCTGCACATGTCCGTAAATAAGCGGCAAATACGTCAAACTGCCATATGTGAATTGTCAATGGATTAATGGTAGTTAATTGTTTTAATTATCTGATTGGTTGTAATGCACATTTTAATACATGTTTATTATATTTAGACTTAGTTTTCATCTTTCATTTATTGTGTGATATTTTATCCAAACAGACAAAGGGTCAAGATATTTTAAAGTTACTTATGTGAGTGTAGAAATAAGCGGCAAAAACGTCAACTGTCAATAAAAATCTGACCATCCCGACATCAAAGAAGCCGACTCAAGCTGTCGCTATTGTATTATTAATTATACTGGGGTTCTACCATTTCACACACAGAAATTGACAGTTTTGCGGCGGAGGTAACCGAAGTGGACGCGATACATTGCCGTACAAAATTATTTTATAGATGTTAATGAACATTTCAGGTAAATAGTTTCATAAACTGTAAATAGCTGTTGAAATTTGGTAGAATTATGATTTGGGATAGTATAGTACTTGTTTAATAATTATTTCTAGTCTTTAAATACATGCGATTGTCCGATTCCGCCAGTAACAATTTAAAAGTACTTATCTATGAAACGACACTGGCAGATAATAGCCGCGAAATTCTCGAAGCCATCCGACGTGGTTTGACTTTTATCCCCCCTCTCTACCTACCAAAAGTCTTTCCAACTTCTGCCCCTGCTATAACCCTCTACTCTCACCTTGAGTGCGCCTCTGAGGAAGCCAGAGTACTGTGTGGCCCATATTTGTAGCGATATTATCACATAGGTATTATTTTTTCAAAAATTATGAGGTGTTTTTTCGTAGCATCTTATATTTTGAGAGGCGTACATTCCAAAAATGTGCACATTTCTTTTCATTAAAAATTTGAAGATTTTTCTTTCCAAAAAAATGTTGCAAATCAAAAACAACCATATAATTACCTGCATAAGTAGTTGGTACTATAATGCTACCGATTTGAACCTTCTGTACTTCTGAGCCTAATTTAATAACTTTCCCAACTCCTTCAAATCCAGCATTATCAAATTTGAAAGGATATTTTCCTTGTACTATGTTTATGTCTACAGGGTTAACAGATGCTGCCATCATTTGCACCAAAACTTCGTTTGATTCTATTTCTGGCATGTCATATTCCTCGGTATGTAGAACCTCTACAGGATTTCCTGGATTTGTATATACTAGTTTGGTTGGCATTTTTGTGGTTTAATATTTATTGCACCACCTAAAATAAAATATTGCCTATTTATATCCAAGGTAAAAAATAAAAACTCTGAAATCTATTTGTTTTCGAAACATTTAATATTGATTTAAGGCGCATGATATTTTAATGTGTCTTAAGAACAGAACCTTTTATTTCTCCCAAATTAGCGTTACAAAATATTGTTACAAAAATAACGTCACGTGTCACATCTCTAACGTTCAAAGATTCCAACGACCTGTGGAAGGGCTCGTAAATCTAAGGGTGTTGCGACATAGTTTTCCATCTTGGACGCTATTTTTATTTGAAATAGTAGTCGCCAAGCCTGCCAATTTATAGAAAATGTATAAACGGTTTTTATAAAAATAATATTTTTATTGCGTTCGACACACCGATCTTCATATTAAACTGGATGGCTATATGGCATAAGGCCTACTGCTAATTTCTAAGGCCCGTATTTATAAACAGAACTTGAGTCGGACTTGGGTAAGTCGTCCTTGAACTAAAATCGAAGTTCGGTTACAACGTCTCTATAGTTCGAGGTTGTTCCGGTGTTACACTGGAATTTAGAGATGGCTATTAGCAAATCTGTAACTGTTATATTCATTTACGGATTTGTTACTACCCATCTCTAAATTCACGCGATATAACCGAACTTCAATTTTCGTTCAAGGACGACTTACCCAAGTCCGACTCAGCTGAGTTTGGTTTATAAATACGGGCCTAAGTCAATATGGGTGAAAAAAAACTGTCGGTGCGCATGACAATTTAGAAGCCAGACTGTCAATTTCAAGTATTCTACGTCACGTTTTCTACGGGAGTACTAGGGTTAGTTATATTATTTTTTATTAAGTTCAATCTCAACGGGCCTGTCAATGACAAGTGAGGGAGACTTTTTTATCACAAAAAATACAGTTCTCAACAATATTTTCAGAAATTGTTTTTAAAAAATGGGTTTAGGGTACGGTAAATAATGGTGGAAAGTCTATAGTTTGTTTTAGTTTTTATGCATAATATTTTAATAATAGTAAGTGATATTTAACAAATATTTAAAAGTTATGGCCTTTTTTATAGTATTTAAAAGCTAAAACGGCAAAATAAAATCTTTTATTTTTGCCTAATTATTTCAGGAAACTTGTGTTAAGATTTAAAAATGTACTGTCGAAGATCGAAGAGATGGCGTCAATTTGCAACCGTGCTAATTCGAGACATACGTTTTATTACACTCATCGTGTTACGTATTTGTTGACATTAAGAGACAGAAATTTAAAGTGATGTCTGTATTACTTCGAATGAAAAATCGGTAATTCGAAGTTTTCTAAACTAAGAAAAAGTTGAGTTGGGTCTAAGTATCATGGTATTTTATTTATTACTGTTATTGGAACATTTTTTTGGCCTGGGTATTAACAGAGACAACTATAGTTGTATTAATCAAAAATTATTTTAAGTGATTTTCCTAAATTAAAAGCTGTTGTAGTTGAATGTAATGTGTTAAATTTAATTTTTGTGTTACCTTTTAGTGCATTTGGATACGCACCTGTGGGCGTCAGCCTGTCAAATATCACCTCGCTATGTGCATAGATTACTAATGTGAATAGATGGGAAACTCAATGGTAAAATTCTGAGTCGATGTGCTGCCATCTATCAAATTGGAGTGGTACTAAAATTCAATATGGCCGCCACGTGCGGGCCTTTTTGAAATTTAACTTTGTAGTAGCGCAAAAATGTAATGAAGAAAATCAAATAAAGCAAAAAAATTGGAAAAATATTTGATTAGTTTCAAATCGTAAAACAACCATATTGACTGTTTTGTGATTTGAAACCAGTCAAATATTTTGTCAATTTATATCTTTATTTGATTTTACTTCATTATATTTTTGCATTAATTTCAAACTTGAAATAAAATACAATTTATTATTTTTTTTTATTACAGTAAATTATCGCCGCATCATATAATTTGTCTATTTAAACATGGAAATACTTAAGTGCTCAAGATCTTTATAAAAGTTTTGCGACTTGGAGTGGCAAATAAGTTTGAAAAAATTGAAGTGAAGCATCATCCTTTTTTTACTTGAGTGTGGATAAAATTTGCCATACGGTTATTGAGTCGACTAGTTAGGTTGAGGAGCATTTCTTCATCCGATAATTGTTTTCGTGATTCATTTATGCAGCACTTGTAGTTATCAAATTTTTATTCATTATGTGGTCACCTTGATAAATGAATTTAACTTTTGAGTATAAATTAAACTTACACACGTTTGGACCCTTGACGATTTTAGGGTGTTTTCTTGTTTGATGTCAATGGCATTGAATCAATTTTTGATATTGATAGCTGAGGCTCAAATATTTTATCGATCGACAGGGTATTTTGGAGGGCCAACATTTTCTTTACAACAATGATCATTTAAAAACTGAAAACAAAAAGAAATTTAAATAACAAACCAATTATTTTAACACTGAATCAAAAACAAGTTTGTAAATATTACTTACCAAACAGTGATGGTGCATTTTTCTTAAGACACTTATTACAAATTATTTGGATATCCTTAATATGACGACTGCATATTTAATGTGATATAAATTGCATCACTACCAATATCTGGGAGTGCTTTATTGTTTGTTGCTGAAATCCATCTTTCCATCGTTTGAGAACATGCTTAAAATTGGAAGGTGTAGAAAAATAAATCAAAATTCAATACACCTTCAAATACAATAACAACAATAACCAATAGCCATTTTAATTTCTCAAAGTTTGAAGTTTTGACGAGCTGACAACTGATATGACATTTCGATACGAGCGCCATCCCGTTAATTGGAGTGGTACTAAATAACCAACCTCATGTTTTTCCATTTGAGTTACCAGCCCCTGGCCTGGCTATGTGGCTCGATTTTGTTAATCGGCTTTGGGTACGCTTAGGGCCGATTCCACCGTTGTGTTAAACGGAGATTAAAATGACATTGTTAATGTAAAAATGTTATTTTAAACTTCGTTTAACACATTGGTGGAATCAGTTCTTAGTAGAACAGAAGTAAAAGTTGGAAAGGCTTTTGCCAGTTCTCCCACTTTATACACATAAATTGACAGGTTTGCTGCGGATCTCACCGAAATGGACGCGATACATTGGCGTACAAAATTATTTTATAGATGTTAATAACAATTTCGAGTAAATAGTTTAATAAATTGTGAATAGCTGTTGAAATTTTGTAAAATTATGATTTGAATATTATAATACATGTTAAATAATGGTAATGTTGTAGTTGAAGGGTCTGGAAATGCGCCAGTCCGCACCATTGCTGTTCCGTCTAGTTCTGTCAGTTGGAATCGTTACATAGTTGCCAGGTTATATTTAATTATTTGGAATCAGAGAATAAGCAGATTGAAATAACTATTTTACTTTTAATCATCTATTTACCAATTATTACATCGATTAAAAATCTCATAAAATTAAAAAAATTCTAAAGATTTTTAAGTAATACGATTGTTATTTTTAATGTCAATAATACCTTTCAATAGTGATAATTACAAAATTTAAATTTAAAATCTATCAAAACTATCTTATAAAACAAAACAGAATTGTTATTTGAAAATATAATATAAATCTTTATATTTATTTATCATACATTTTAATTTACAGAGGTTACAATTTGTCTAAATAATAAACTATGAAATAAAGCAAGCCCACATAGCACACGGACGTCTTATGGACGTCTAAAAGACGTCCTTTAGGGACATAAAAGACGTCCGAGGGACGTCCTATTTTGGTACCGGGACGTCAGCCGGACGTCCCATGGACGTCCTAATGTCCCGTTTCTGTCCATCTTAGGGACGTCCCTTAGGGACGTCCCTGGGACATCCCAAAAGGACGTCATAGGGACCTTTGCGGGACGTCCTAGGGACGTAAATCAGACGTCCGAGGGACGATATTTGACCATAATCCATAAAGGGTAATAATAACAAAAATGTTAACAATAAAAGAGCTTTATTTAACAACTTTTATCCTAAAAAACCTAGCTAGAGTTAAACGTTTTCAGTTTACAAAAAAAAAACAGGAATTAATTAAATTTAACACACAGTGCTGGCAAGATGAAACCTTGGGTCCTACTTATAGCTTGTGTCGACAAAACTGAGTATTATAATTTTGTCCAAATTAGTTTTGTTCCAACTTTCCGCCATTAAGATATTTTCTTTCCGCCAGCGGCTACCGACAATACACATCACTTATTCTCACATCAACACAAAACACTCACTTCACTTTATAACCACTTTACCACCAGCATCAAAAAAATAACAAATAACATTATATAACCTTCTTTTTTCTTCGTTAATCTAACTCACTTATTTAAGTTAATTATTGAATGCCGAAAATTGTAGCTATTGTTGTTCATTTGAAAATAAATGATAGGTTAGGTTTTCTGTCCTCATACTCTTGCAAAATCAAAACGTTGAATTTCAAGTTATCGATTCAAAGACCAACGATGCTAGTGCATAGAAAGTCCCATAGACGTCCCTTGGATGTCCCATTAACGTCCCGGATTCGGACCGAAAACTAAACGCTTTGTCGAAACGGGACCAAAATAGGACGTCCAGAGGACGTCCTTCTAAGGACGTCCTAGTGTTAACTGTAATCGGAAGTCCAGTGGACGTCCTATTTAGGTCCGGGACCAACCGGACCAACAAGGGACCAAATCAGGACGTCCATGGGACGTCCTGTGCTATCTGGGAGCTAAAATGAAAGTGGAGATTTGGCAACGTGGCTTGAGCAAATTCAAATTCTAGACGTCAGTGCAGAGTGGTGTGAATATGCGCATTTCTAGACCCTTCAACTACAACATTACCATAATAATTATTTATAGTCCATAAATACATGCGATTGTCCGGTTCAGCCGATAACAATTTAAAATTACTTATTCTATGAAACGGCGACACTGGCAGGTAAACATTACTGCGAAATTCTCGAAGCCGTCCGAGGTGGTTTGACGTTTACCCCCTCTCTACCTACCAAAAGCCTTTCCAACTTTTACTTTTCCTAATACCGCGTTTCATTTGTTTGGAATGCCAAAACAAGACTGCGTTTTTTTCTGAGTTTTTTTTAATTTTGTTAATTTTCGGACGTCAAATATCAAATAATTGACATTGAATGTCAAAATTTGTAGGTAATGATGACATGAAGAAGTTTTTAATTTACATATATCAAGCCGAGATACCTAAAAATGTGAATGATAAGCATCTTAAAGCCCGGTCATCGGAGTAAATACTGGTAATAGCTGACAGAATAACAACAAAAATCATATTGAATATAAAATAATTTCTGATTACTTACCCAGCAATGAAATTTTTCTAAACTAGCTGTTTCAAGTAGGTAGGTACCTACATATACTTTTCTTAAAAATATAATATGAACTTGTGCAGTTATGCACATTAGGTCGGACTATGACCTTGATTACGATAATTCATTCATATCACAACTCACAACCTGATTTATGTACATTGGCGTCGTCGTTGTAAGGATAGAAGGAATAAAACTGAATTTTAATTTATATAAAATACAAAACTGCACGCATGGCTCGTTTATTTATTTAGGGTGGTCCTAACTTGATACGTTTTTTAACAGTACATAGAGGTCGATAAAATAAACATTTTTCAAATAATTCAAAATAAGAAAAATAAAATTAAAAAATTAAATCCGAGCCTAGACTTTTGTGTATCAAAAATTAACCTAAATAAAAAAAAATATGTAGGTACAGGCGATTTTATACAGGGGCATCAACTAATTTTAAACACCTTAAACTTCGTTTTCTCCCCTTTATGTTATATATAGGCCCTAAAAGTGATAGTTTTTGACAAATTTTTATTGTAATTGATAAATTAAAAGAAACAGGTTGATGGTTGATAACTTTATATATTATTTGAACCGTACGTTATGAAATTCATTAAAAAATAACTTTGGCTAATACTTTTTTGTATTTATAGACATTCCAACCTGTCAACAAAAACCAATATGATTGCCTGTTGGCACACAAATTTCTGTTTGTGCTTTTGAGGATGGATTTAGCATAAAAAGACTGGTACGACCTTAACAGCCGGAGAGACTTGCCACGATTAGTGTGCATTCACGTTTTCGCGGCAGTTAAGCAGTGATGTCTCCGTTCACGTTGTGAATGGATGTTTACTGGACCTAGCCCACTAGCGGTTAATCATTCACGACGTGGAATGAATGAGTATATGATGAATGGGAAAGGAGTAGGATATCCAAAAGGTGGCACAATAAGCCATCTGCGCTTCAATGCCGCTATGCCAATTCCATGAGGAGGGAAAGCAGGCTGGACCCAAGCATCTGATTGGGGGAATGTGCCGGAATCTCTCGGGGAGAGCAAAAGGATGCATGAAAGGGTAAAAAAGTAGCCAAAAGGTACCAGCCAATTTTCCGAAGATTTCAAATTTTATGAAACAAGTAACTGATAGACAGAGCTAGGGCCGCAAGGTGGAACGATCGTACCTCTGGCTGGAATTTTGTAAAGTGGTTATATATCGGGATCATCAGGAAGTGTCATCTGTAAGGACTTAGTCTAGAACCCTTGCAAATGAGACGTCAGACAACTCAAAGTTGTAAAAAACGCTCATACCTCCGACTAAAAATTTACATCTTCACCTGTTTGAAAGTCACAGATGAGGTATGCAAAACGTCAGATGGTTAGACCAATGCTAAAGGGATGTCATACGCCCTCAAAGTATTTTTTTGTTGATTTTTTGATACCGTTATCTGACGTTTTATCCCATCACGTTCCTAATGGGCTTCTTTTTAAAATTTGTAATTTTTTTAAAATTTGTAATTTACAAATCATTTTTATATTAATATTTTACACTCAATCTTATTGTAGATAAGCACCGAAGAAGGCTTAATGCCCAAAGCGCATTGCTATATTTAAAAAGAATACACGAAATACAAATTTTCTTTGCTGTTTGCTATTTACTTGATGGAAATTCATTTAAAAAAAATTAATGAATACTTGTCTACTATATTTAATACTGTTTATTATACATTATTAAACTATTAAAAAAGACACAGAGTAAATATTATTTTACAGTGTTGGATAAAATAATTAAAATATGACTTCAAGTACTTGTTGCTATGAGTTGCTATTCCAGTTTGGTCGATTTAAAAATTTCTTGTATGGTATTACTTTTAGCCAAAGCGTTTGTGACTAATGTCTCCGTAGCATATACTTTTGTTGAGTTATTGTTTTAGGGTGTTTTTCTAAAAAATAAGACATTATTAAAGTGAGGTTATGAAATTAAAAGGCAAATAAATTAAAACTTACCGTTTTTAATGATAAAGTTTACTAGTTCCGGTATACCACAGTTCCAATAATGGCACATAAATAATATAAAAAGACAATATATAAAAACACACAACCACGAAAAAGTAATGACAATTACAATGGCTGTCCCGAGAAGAAGGCAGCTAGAGGAAGAACACGACTCGATACGTGCACGCGAGACTCCAATCAGCCAATGACAATGACGAATGACGTTCTACATGCGCTGTCGTGGCGCCATATTCAAATATAGCGAAAAAAGTTGAACGTCCACATTACCGACATATTTAAAACGTCCTAAAACATCCCAACAAAGACGTTTTAAACATGTCCTGAGCATGACGTCTTAAAACCATCCGTTTTACGTACCAGGACGTTTGGACGAAAGTAAGACATGAACTGGACGTCTTTAAGATGTAGTGTGCTCTCTAGATATTAATTAAGCTAATAAGAAAAATTATACCTAAATGAAGATAAATTTATTACTGACCCTTAACTAATACTAATTTGGTACAATAACAAGAAGTTTTAGCGAACAACTGTTTTTTTTATATCTTTTAAGTTTTTGTTTAAGAACTTTGATTTGTCTTGTTTTTTTTTATTCTTTTCTACCTGTTGTAAAAGTTGTCTTCTAAGCCGATTTATGCTAGGGCTTTCTAGGATAGATTCCTAATTTGAAGTTATATTTAAAGGGCCTGGCTCAGCTTCCAAATGCAATGCTCTTCTTTTTAAGTACTACAAACAATCAATTATTACGGTAATGTTTTGAATTATACACAAAAGGGTTGCTAAAGTCTTAAAAGTTCATAACGTAATAATTAATGAAAAGTAATTAAAAAAATATATATGTTTAATTATGTTTATTAGTATAAGCACCTTCTTCGGCTGCACGTATTTAGATAATTCAGGAAATATAGTGGGAACTGCTCCATTTAGTAAACTTCATTAAAAAAAATGTCTTTCAAAATGTTTTGAACACTACCATTTTTGGCGTAGGCATCCAATTTGCAATTTTCGTTGCCTGAATTCAAAGATTTTTTGCATTGGTATACCTGTGCCGCGTTTGAGAATCCACATCGGATGCATTTTTACATCTCGAGCGTTTTTTTATCCACATCGGACACATCTGTCCCATTACATTTACCTATACTGAATCACGTGATCAAAGATTTACTACATCTCAGATGTATCCGATGTGGATTCTCAAACGCGGCAATGGTTAGTTGAATTTTTGTTCTGCTGCTTTTCAAATTCGTGTGTATGAACGAAATGTGAGATATCTTTATATACGCTCGTTTGAGAATCCACATCGGATGCATTTTTTACATCTCTAGCGTTTTCTTATCCACTTAGATATTATCAGGGCAGCCTTCGCAAATGTAAGGACAGAACCGTTTTAATTTTTTTTTATATATGTGAAATATTACTTTTTGGTGAAAAGTTTAATTACTTTTAGTTCAAAATATAACGTTAGTTTGTCAAGGGAAATATATAACACACAAGGTTAGAGTAACAAAATAGAGGTATTGCTTTATTTCTTAAGAATTACTAGTATAATCTAAAACTTTTTTAGTATATTGTAGAAATTTATTCTTTACGTTATTTAGGTATTGCAAAATCTATAGGGAAGTATGTAGTTTTAAATATAAAAATTTAGAACGGAGACATACTTAGTGTAGTTTTTTTTACAAATATATATATTCAGTGACTTGTTTTTGTGAATAAGTTCAAGTATGGCAGACTAAAATCGTTACTTTTTATTATGAATTAATTTATTTAAAAATGGGAATTATATGTATGGTTTTCGTAGTTATTACACTTGTGATAAAAAAATCAAAGTTATGTATATTGGCCATTTACTACACACATCAAATGCATAGACACAATACATATCACTATTTGACATTCTTATTAAATTCACTAATTTAAAATTGACTTTAAACTAAGTGACTACACAGAATTGTTTGAAAGCAGCCATAAGTTATAATTTATTTATTGAATACTATAAAAAAATTAATAGTAGTTACATGTAGAGTTAAGTAACAAGAAATTTAAAAACAAAACAAACCTTTATATCTAGTGAACTTAATTTAGTACAGTCCTCAACTTTCTTAGGCTAACATTAAAGATATCTATTTGGATCTCGCTAAGAAACTCATTGGTAACAGTCATCATCTTGTTAAAAGGAGATATACTACTTGGATCTAAACTAAATAATTTTTTGTTACTTGGGATTCTTAGATTAATCTTTGCCACATTAAAATTTATATAGTCGATCAAATCACAATCTTTGTACTTAAAATTATTTAAAATAGAGTACAAAAATATATGACAGCCTGTTGCTTTCTTCTTTGTAAAAGAGATTTAATCTTAAAACTATCCAGCATAGTTTTATATGAGATCTTATAAGGGTACGAGTATTTTTTATGACATAAAGGTACCGTAAAAATATTATTTGTACTTTTCAATATGATCAATTTGTGTGGCTTCCAAGAGTATTCATATTTGTGAAACACACTCAAGATGGTGTCTTAAAGTCTATATTCGTGATAAACAGATAGTCATTAAAAACTAACTCCATATTAGTACATTAACAATATGCACAAACAAAATGTGGCATTTATACCAAAACATAATAACATTGTGTTCAATTGCTAAGTGTGTCTACCAAAACTAGAGAATAGGCATATAACTTATTTTTGCTAAATATATTTAGTCCGATTCCTAATAGTGCTTCTGCCAAAATAACATAAAGGCCAGACCCGAGGGGAAGCCACTAAGGTCAAAACGTACCTATATTTCGGAAATCACATAATAACTTCTTATGTGATTTCGGTGATTTCACTGAAAATCCACCTTAATTTTTTTCTCGGCATTTGTTTTGAGCTACGAATTGATTTCGGCGATGATTTCGACCATGATTGTGGATGATGATTTTGGAATTTTCGAGAAAATTTGTAGTGATTTCGAGTGAAAACGTACCAGTATTTTGGGAGTGGTTTACCGCTACTTATTTTTGTTGAATGTCTTTGTTGAAATACTGCAAAATTGTGTCCAAGCCATTTGTTTTGTTATGACTAGAGCCATCTCTGCCCTTTCTCGATTGTTCCGAAATCCAGAAGATGATTACGTCACACTTTATTTCCGCGATACAGCTAATCTTCAACAATCACTAGATAATAACACGTGATGTTAAAATCTCCGTGGTGAACGAATGATTGGTCA